CAGTGAGACATCCTTGGCAATTTCCTCCCCACAGTGGCATGAAAGCTGAGAGGCTCTTTTCAAAACCACCATCTCTGTCCATTGTTGTGTGACTGTGCTTTTCTTAGTCCTGGCAAACACAGAACCCCACAATGGTTTGGGTTAGAAAAGAACTTAAAAATCACCTTGTTCCAATTCCCCTCTGTGGCCAGGGACACCTTCCACTAGCCCAGGTTTCTCCAAGGCCCATCCAGCCTGGCCTCCTTGGGCACTTCTATCAAGCAGCCCAGCAAATGAGCAACCTGCCTGCTTACACTGGGGGAAATCATGTGGGGTGAGGCACATTTGGGATGCTGAGGCTGAGCCTGGCGTGCACTGAGGCTGTGTCTCCCCCTTGCTGTTCTCCACAACCTCTCCTCTCGGTGCTGACACATGCAGCAGCCACGTGCAGGATCTCTCCTGCTCCCCAGCTCGTGCCACACACAATCTTGTTCTGATTTTCAGGGCTCCAATAAAGCGTGTCCAAATGCATCAAAGGCTCAGTGCAGAAGTGAAGCAAATTGACTCTGTGGAGGATTTAGGGAGTGGAGGGAGTTGGGATAAACCCCAAACCAAACAAGAACTGCAGGGAAGGTGAAGCATGGTAGAGACAGCAGATGTTCAGCACAGCTGGAGGGACGTGGAACATCTTTGGTTTGGCAGGAGAATGGGAAAAAGTGAAAATAGCCCACACATCCTCTGGAGATGTGGCTTGTAGGGAGCTCTCTGTGGGTAGGGACACAGTGCCATGACCTGTGGGAGACAGGATTGTCTGGGCTCTGTTATTGCCCTGCTCCACCTGTCTGGGACAGCAAGGAAATTCAGGTGCTGGTACAGGCTGAGGCTGCAGATGCCATGGCTGTGAATTTGGGCTCTTGCACCAGCTCAGGGTGGGCTGCAGAGCCCTGTCCCCACCTTGGGATGGCCTCTCCTGTCCTGTCCTGTCTGTGGCTACCAGCAGCTCAGAATTGGCCCAGGCTGCCCCATCCCAGCCCTTTGCCTGGCTGCTGTGGCCTCCAGCACCCAGACTGCCTCAAGGCAATAGAAACAGGAGGAGAACTGCACTCATGGAACAGGCTCAGCCATGGTCTTGTCGTGCTGGGAAATCAGGCACTTCAAAAGGCAGTTTTGCATTTCTTCAGATGCCTCGATGTAAGTGCAGTGACAGAGTTGCTCAAAGCACATTAATTATTAGTAAAGGCTTTTTTTCTTTTTATTGCAAGACAAATTAAACAACAGACAAAAACAGGAGGTGTTACACGAGATGTTAATCCATGGGAGAGTGGCAGCAGCAAAAGCCACAAATAATTCATAACATGAAAATCAGGACATTTGATTTTTGGCTTGTTGTTTGCATTTGGCATTTGTGCACATGCTCAGTTGCTGCTTCTCTTGTGCTCTGGGGTGGAGATTTTGGAGGCTGTTAATTTTGGAAAAAGTGATTGTAGCCCTTCAAGAGTAAATCAGGTAAGAGACCACATTTTTCTTCTCTCCTCTTGACTGGAGAAAACCAAGTTGCTGAACCCTGTGTTTTCTGTGGCACTCCTTGTCCTCGATTGGGCAATAGAAAAAATGAATGTGTACAGGAATTCCAGGGCACTTCCAGCACTCTCCTGTGTGACAGGGACACATTTAGCGTGTGACCCCACCTGGAGGGATTCAGCTGGTGCAAAGCATTTCCTTAGAAAGGAATTTGGCTTTGCACATGTCTGTGATGTCAGCTGTGAGTTGCTATCCTCTAAAATTTAGTGCAGCTTAGTTAGCACCTTCCTTGGACATTGCCAAAAGCTGGCGTCAGTCTGATGAAATTGATTTTTCATTGAGCTGTTACAGTCACTGAAACTGCTGAGAAGAATTGCAACCATATGGCACAAGGTGCTGCAGACGAGGTCTCCTGTGACACGCCGAGCTGACGTGTGCAGAGCCATGGATCTGGAGCAGGGAGGGGACTTGGCTCTGGAGTGTGGCACACGAGGCCATAATAAACCCCACAAAGCCATTGTCGTTTCTGGGAGAGGCCCCACCTGAGGAAGAGGACGCTAGGAGTTGCAGATATTTATACCTCAAGTGCTTCTGACAGTCTGTGTCCCAGTGCCAAGGTTATGAACCCGTGTTAGTTCTTCAATTCTCAGCCAGAAAAGTCTCTGAGGGTGTTCAGGGACATGTCCCACCTTGCTCAGCACCTGTGGCTGCCCTTGAATGTCCCTCACAGCTGATGGCAGGGAAACCCCTCCCTTCCCTGCTGCGTTTTGACAGATGGGCTGTGAGGGGAGATCAGCCGAGGGCTGGTCAGTCCTGGAGCAGTTAGGCAAGTGTGGGCAGGGAGAGAGTCACAGCGGTATTAAGTGATTAGAAATACATAAATATTAATTGCTTCTGAACTCCCTTTATCACACTTGCAGGCAGAAGAAGTTAATAAATCACTGCTTGGATTAACCCACAGAAGGGTTAGGCAGGAGAGTGGGAGCTTCTGTCACATGTGACTCTGCTCTGGGCGTGTTATGTGAGGCTCTCCCATTCCAGAGAGACTTTTATTAGGTAATTTGAATATTTACACATGAATCGTGGTGCACAACAGTCACCCCATCAGCAGAATCACCGTGTTCTCCTGGTGCTGAGCCTGTGATATGAGGGGAGCACGTCCCACACCTGTGTCAGAACTTGCTGCTTAGAGAAAATGCCTGAGATGCAGCTCCTGGATAAGCCTGTTCAGCCCCTGCTGCTATAAAGGAGGACATACGATTCCATTTGAGAAAAATAGACTTTGGCTCTGTTATCAGGGCACAGAATGCTGAACTATTGCTGAGAAGCTTTTGATTTACTCTGATTTTTGCAATGAGGGCTTGTACTAGCATTGCAGGCTGCATGCAAATGAAGGTGGTGTTACCTGTCTCTGGCTTGGTTGCTGGATTGAGGTTTAATGAGATTCTTTGGTTGGCTTTGTGTCAATCTGTTGGAGTTAAGTGAGATTTCTTCCTCCCACTTTGTTTTGCCTTTGATGCAATTTTGCAACACTTCTTGTATTCCTAAAAGGGTCTTTTGGTGTCTTTGAAAGTTTCTCAATGCAACATCTCTCTGGACAGAGTAAATGAGGATTAAAACTAGGCAGATAGCAAGAGAAAACAAGGAAGTGTCTTTGCAGAATCAAACAAAGAGCAAGTGCAGCAGCAGAGGAGCTCTGAGATCAGTGTTTTTGTCTGGTAAACCAGAACACCTGAGCAAACCTTTTCCTGGAGCTCAGGGCCAGCTGGTCTCTCCAGGCTGGCAGTCTCTGGTGTCAGCTCAGCTGCTTGTTTTCATAAAATATAAATAACAATAACTGTGGGGTGGCAGGAAGCTGGGATTTGGCATCAGCACCTCCAGCTGTGCTGCACAGCCCAGCAGTGACTGGCCCTTCTGCACCTGGCTTTGTCTGCTAATGAGATCTCATTGCCTCTTCATTTCCATGTTATTTTTCTTCCCAGTCAGTGGAATGAGCTCTATAAAACCTGTATTATCAGTCTTCATTATGCTCAGGTTTGTTATGATTGTGAATTAATAGATTTTATCTTGGCATTAATGAGAAGGCACCAGCCTCTCTTTTCCCTCTTACTTTGCATAGGAGGGTTGGTTTTGAATATTCTCTCTATGCAGCTGCTTCTGTTGCTTTCTGGCTCTGCTTGGGTTCAGACTGTTTTAAGCCTTTCTTGCTTGGGTTCAGACTGTTTTAAGCCTGAACCTTCCTGATCCACCCCTTGACAGTGAGTTCAGATCTGTGCACCTGCAGTGGCACAAGGAGGAGGTTATGGACAGAGGAGCAATATGTTCCTGTGAATCAGAGCCCTCTGCAAGCTGGTTTTAAAGGTGCAAGTGTCCTCATAGAAAGTTCTGGGGAGCACATAAATATTTAAACAGCTGCTGGGGAACAGCACAGCCCAGTAAATCATCCAAACAATTCTCTTCCACATCTAAATTGAGAAGTACAACAGAGCGCTCTTCCAGCTTAAAACCACCTTCCTCCAGGTTGTGATGCTGTTTGCCTTCTCTATAAAAGCTTTTATAAGTTCTTTTACTGTTGTATAACAAATGGTCAGGCGTGTTTTGTGCCATGAGGGATCTCTGTCAGAGCTGGTTCTGTGCCTGGTGCTCCTAGACAGGAAAGGTGATGAAGAGCAGCCCTTCCCCAGTAGCTCACCTGTGGATGTCAGGGCTGGACAGCCCTGCTGAGGAACCTGTGCTGTGTCTGTGGCATTCAGAGGATGGTTGGTGCTTGGGCACACCTGTGTCTCCCTCTGCAGCAGCAAAGGGGCCCTGCTCTGGTCCCTGGGAACTGCCTGGGGTGAGGAATGAGCACTTGACGTGGGTTGTTGGTGCATAAACCTGGGGACTCTGAATGGGAGGGACTGGGGATGTGGGGGGACTTGTATTTGTGGGGTCCCTTGTGGCAGGGAGGAGTGATGAATCTGACTCCAAGTTTTTAGAGGGCTAATTTATTATTTTATGATGCTATATTATATTAAAGAATAGTAAAGTAAACTATACTAAAGAATACAGAAAGGATACTTACAGAAGGCTAAAAAGATAATAATAAAAACTCGTGACTCTTTCCAGAGCCTCAACAGAGCTTGACCTTGATTGGCCAATGAGTCAAAACAATTCACATGAAACCAATGAAACAATCACTTGTTGGATAAACAATGTCCAAACACATTCCAAAGCAGCAAAACACAGGAGAAGCAAATCAGATAATTATTGCTTTCCTTTTTCTCTGAGGCTTCTCAGCTCCCCAGGAGCAAAATCCTGGGTGAAGGGATTTTTCCAGAAAATATGACTGTGTGTCACATTTACACCTGCACAACATTGGTTTCACTCCGTCACGGTGACAAGAACTGCTTTGGCTCAACTGTTGCCTTGCCCTTGGCTCTATAGGAGCCTTGTCAGACACATCTGCCTGCTTTGTGTGACTGATTCTGCTTCTTGTCTCTTCTCTCTGTCATGCACAGATGAAATCCTCTGACATCGACCAAGAATTGTTCACTGAAAGTTACTGCAAGGTGTGCAGTGCTCAGCTGATCTCCGAGTCCCAGCGCGTGGCCCATTACGAGGTAGGATGTTCTTGGTGTCTCACTCCACTGTTTCAGTTCTGCTTGGAAGACTCAGCATTTGAAGAACTGTTTTTACTGTTTGTTTTTCCTGTTTTTTTTTTTCCTGTTTTTCCTGGCTTTTTTCCCCTGTTTTTCCTGGGTTTTTTCCCTGTTTATCGTGTTTTTTTTCCTGTTTTTCCTGTTTTTCCGCTTACTCGGTCGGTGATGATGTCACTGCAGCGGTGTCTGCTGCATGTCTGGCTTTTTTTTTTTTCTTCTGTTTTTTGCCAAGTCAGCCTGCAATTTGATCAGGACTGAAGGAAGCACAGTTAGCAAGGAGAGCAATTAAGAGTGCAGCAAAAACAAGCTCGGGTTGTATTAAATGTGCTGCACTGTGGTTTGGTGAGTAGGAATCACTGATTGTGCAGAGAATAGATTAGAATTTGTGAATGTATTTAAGCACTTAAGAGGTAGTGAGCAATGAATAATTAGAAAGGATGGATTATTAGAGACATGTTAGAACAGCAATTAACAGCACTGCATATCTTCAAAACAAACTTAAATACATTCCTATTAAACCAGAAGGAAATTATGGAGGGATATGATGCTGTAAAATCCTTCAGGGAAGGAAACTCACTGCCTGGGTGTAGATCCTGCCAGGGTGAGGGGCTTTTTGAACAGAGATTCTCAGGTTCAAATGCAGAGGAGGTGCAGGGTCACTGTGTTGTGGCTGTGCACAAGGGATTGTCCTCCCCTGGGAGCATGTGAGATGCTCCAGCCTGTCCTGGAGGACTCCAGAAGTGATGCATGTTTGCATTATCTATAAAACATAGTTTTTATATGGAGAACAAACTATATTAACTCTGTATATTCATAATATATAAAATAGAGATAATACAGATATTTGGATAATATGGAATAATTTGATTTTGGTGGTCACGGAGGTCTTCCCGAACCTAAATAGTTCTGTGATTCTGTGTGATGAGCTGGGGGATGAAGGATTTCTGTACTCAGGGCAGTGCTTTGCTTCTGTTTTTGGTTACATGGAGACTCCCAGTGTCTGCAGAGTTCCAACAGATGCAGAATTTGTGCACAGGGACCTGGAAGATGAAGTTACCCCAGGCTTGACTTGTGTGTTTTGCAGTTACTATACGAGGGAGACAATTGTGTGGCCAGCAGAGGATGTGCAGGAAGCTTAATGTACATGATCTGAGGATGCTGTGCTGCATTAATTAACAATGGGAACAAGAATGTACGTGTGCTTGTAGGGCACTTTACGTGTCTGTTTTGGTGAATTTCTTAGGAGCTCTTCTGTAACTGCTCCTCTGGCTGCCCTCTGTGTGCAGCAGAGATCCCTGGCAACTCTGTGAAGTTGAAGGCTGCAGTTTTAGGGACACCTTCCAGATCTGATACTGGGCAGCGTGGATGCCAAATTCTGCCTGCAGGAGGCAGGAGCAGTGCTGCAGACACGGGAGCAGCTCCTGGTGAGCCTCAGGGTGCTCAGCCAATCTCGTCTCCTCTGCGCCTGTCACTGTAGGTATGAGCTGAATCATTAATTCATAGCAGATGTTTTTGAAATGTGGAAAACAACACTGTTTTCTGTTGTATATTTTAGTGTGAGGTGTTGTGCTCGTTTGTCATCCGCTGTGAAATCCCAGCAGACGCTGAGATGTTGGGCACAATAATGTCATTCCCAAACCTTGCTGCTGGGTTGCATAACACAGAGAGGAGGCTTGGAGTGAGTGAGGTGTTGTCTTGGTTTGGAAAGACAGGTGCCTGCTAAGGAAGGCAGAAGCCTCCCCTGAAATGGAGAAAATGAGCCCCCCCTCACCCCACCCCTCTGACTTGCTATAAATTTTAAATTAAGGGGCTCTCAGGCAACAAAAACTATGGGAGCAGGAAATAACAGTTCTTTCATAGAGAAGAAAATAAAAGGCTAAAATAAACAATGCAATAAACTAAACCAACACTGCCAGAGTCAGAACCCAGCCTGACACCCTGTGGGTCAGGGTGTGGGCAGCAGAACCATTGGAATTGTGGCTCAGCCCTCCTGCAGTGCCAGGGCTGGTTCTGCTGGAGCAGGGATCCTGGAGAAGGGTGGAGTCTCTTCCTCTGAAGATCCAGGGGAAGGAGAGGCAGCTGCTGCTCCTCTGGGAAATCCCGTGGAGAAAAGCCGTGCTGTTATTCCAGAAACTCAAGATTATATCCAGGTAGGAATGCTTGGCTGGTGTTCCAGAATCTCCAGATTATATCCAGGCAGGAATGCTTGGCTGGTGTTCCAGAATCTCCAGATTATATCCAGGTAGGAATGCTTGGCTGGTGTTCCAGAATCTCCAGATTATATCCAGGTAGGAATGCTTGGCTCCTCCCTCTGGGCTCCCATCTCCCAATGGGATGCTGCAGTTCTTATCAGCCATGCAGGGACATTCAATGGCCTCTTATCAGCAGATGTCCCCTCCCTAGAGGGAAGAGTGTTTGTGGTCACTCAGAGAGATAAGGAAAACTGCTGACTTGACAAAAGCCAACTGCCATTGAGATGGTAATAAATACATCCTGCCTTGCAATCTAGAACAGCTGTAAAGACTAGCTAGGATCCCCTCTTGTGGCCCAGAGGCTGGGAGTGCCTCTGCCCTGTGGCTGTACCACACTTTGCTGTTCTCAGTGTCCCTTTGGGGCGGCTGTTCTGGTCACCACTCCCAAGTGTGATGCTCATTCTCGTGGTAACTTTCTGGCACCCTGGTCCCAAGAGCCCCACAGGCATGTGAGAGGCTGAAAACCTGCTCTGAGGTTTTCCAGGGAGGTGGAGTTGGGGGCTCCATCCTGCCTGAGACTGCCAGCCCTTGCTGTAGGCCATTACTTAATAGCAGGAGTGTAAAATTCACTGTTTCTTTCTAATTATAAAGTAGCTGGTCACAATTTTCACACCTTTCTTTTTTTTTCTTCTTACTTTTAGAAAGTGCCGTATAGTTAAAAACTGATTATTTTCATAGGGGAAATATCAACTTCAGAAGACTGAATGTTGTGCAAATCATTTTCCAGGAGCCCTGGGGGTGGCCACCCTGGGTACGCATGGGTGCTGAGGACCCTTGGTGGGTGCCAGGGCTCTGTCTGGGTTTGTTTTGGTCAGCAGTGCCCTTATCCTTCCTGAGAGAGCCTGGAGAGAAAGGGAATTGATCCACTGCCTCACTAGCGCAGTCAAGTGAGCTCTGCAGCCCTTGTGCCAGGGACTGGAATCCTGGCTCTCTGTGCATGCAAAATAAGACATTTCTCTGTAAGAAAATAGAGGGAAGCAGCCTATGAAAGGGGGACGTTTTTATCTTGCCAAACAGGAATAGTCAGTTCCAATCGCTGTCTCATCTCCTTCTCCAAATCACCAACCAATAACTTTTCTCCTCTGCTACTTTGCCAGGAATAAAAAAATGATTTTATGTCAGTCACGCAGTATTAAGTGATATTATTTCCAAGGGCAAGCGTAGTGGAAAAATGACAAAAGGATCAGAGTGTTTGCAGCACTTTGTGCTTCCAGCTTGACACACAGCAAATAACTGCCTTTATTACATGTGCCTCATGCAACTGTGTTTCTGGCTTTGTCTGACGTGTCCGATGCACCCTGGCTCTCCTTCCCATGCTGCTCAAAGTGCCAGGTCCTGCCCGCCTCTCGAGGGTTCACCCCAGGACAGAGCTGAGCCTTGGGGTATTGATTTGGCTCCCAAATTAAGGAGCCCAGCTCACTCTGCAGTGCTCTGAGTATCTCCAGGGGCTGCTGCTGAGCAGCTGTGAGTGAGGGATGAGGCAAACCTTACTGTTGGTGCCCAACGGAGTGTGCATTTGCATATTTTAATCCTGCAAGCAAATTACTGCCTTAATTTGTCCCCTGAAGTATCAGAAAACTCTCTCCCCGCTTCTGTTTCTGGAATAAAGCGGGGAAGTACGGATGCCTGAGACAATCCCTGGATGCCAGGTATCCCTGAGCTCCCCTGGCTGCCCTTTCCTCCTCGGGAGGAACAAAAGGGAGCAGGGTGGCTGTTTGGTGAAGAATGCATGTGCTGCAGGTGCTGGATGGCTGCAGGAGGTGGCCAGGCAGGGTTTAGGGAGGGCATTTCACACCTGAGGGTATTTCACACCCTGTGGTCCAAGGGGTGACAATGTGCTGCACTTGCTGCAATGCCATTGGAAGTCTGTGCTGCAGAAATGAGGTTTTTCTTTTCTGTATCTCTGCATCTTTCCCGTCCTCTGGAGCTTCCAGCCTCTTTGGCACTGGATTCCCTCTGGATTACCTGTAATTTAACACTTCCTTCCAGTTCTGTCTTTGAGAGAGGTTGTTTCAATCACTTTGGTGAGCTGCTCTGTAAATTAAAAAGCTGAAACAAAGAGAGCTAAGGTTTCTTAGTTAGCTCTGAGTCCTCATCTCTATGTGGAAGTGTTCACAGCCATTAGGAAGATGTTACCATTTATTTTCATGTTTCCCCTTGAAAATCCTGCAGGAAAATTACCTCATATACGAAGTTGCTCTCAGATTTCACCCTGAGCTGCACATTCATCACCACATTTGCTCCTCGAGCTGCTGTAATGCTCTTCTCCATTTCCTCCATAATCTTTATTGCTTCAGGTGTTCAGAGAGTGCTTTATTTTTCCATTTTAAATGAAGGAAGATGCCAGGTCTGGAGGAAGAGCAGCCCAGGAGGGGCCCGTGCAAGTGTCACCTTATGGGATGGGGGAATGCTGCTTGAATGCCTGTGGTGGAGCAGCAGGGGAGGGCAAAGCGTATGAAAATTGAAATGCAGAAGAAACTGGGGAGAACAAATCAAGTGCCAATGCCCTTTGGCTGCTCTCTGGAGCTTGTGCCCTGTGGAATTTCTCACTCTGTCTCCAGAGCAAAGCAGGCGAGTGCTATCGACAGCCTCATCAGCGCTCCTTGTGTGCACGGGGCTGGAGTGGTGCTGGGGTTAATCTGCCTCCAGTTGGGCTGTCCTTGGCTGGAAACGTGTAAAGCAGTGGCTTGTCTGAAGGAATAATAAACA